AGAAAGATTCCTCTTGGTGACGTTATGCAGAGTTAATGTCATGTGTAGTGGCACTCCTGGACGTCAGAAGGGAGGATGCAGCTGACAGCTCTCCCATGAAAAGGAGGGAGGCAGGGAGAAGGATGGGCTGACTAATCCCCCACTCCCTCCCCAAACCTGCAGCCCCAATAGGGTCCCAGAGGTGTGCTCACTCCCGTAAGCAGATCTGGGGAAGCCTGCAGAGGTGGAGTGCCAACCTGGGACAGAAACGCAAGAGGGACAGCAAGGGTGGCATTCACGCCACTTCTCCCCTGTGCAGATCACCCCCAAGGCTACTTTTCCTGGTGAAAGGAGTTACTCAAGCTATCCTTGCATGCCCTGTGCGGTCTGACACACATAGGCGAGGGACTCCTGGCCCCACCTATTGCAAAACTCTGACCCATAACACAGCATGAGGACTTCCAAAGGGGGATCTGTGTGTCTTCCACAGCAAAACCAGCTGTAAGTCTTTAAAACAAAGAGCCTGAGCTTTCATGGAGCAGAGTCCACTTCCATGTATAAGGAGGTCCCACTTTCAAGGGCTATTGGATCACACATCGGCTGCTGCACAAGTTGACGGCTAAGATGAGGCTTTTACGTTGACACACATGACCTGCTGTTCAATTCAGCTTCCCCAACCTTTTGCAATTCAGATGTCTTGGACTACCAATCCTATCAGCCCCAGGCAGCTTGGCCAATGGTTAGGAGTGGTGGGAGTTGTAGTCTAAAAGGTATCAGATTGGGAAACATTTATTTACTTAAACTAAAGCAATGCTGTCTGTGTTTCCCACCTCGGTGCAGGTGCTCCTTCTTCCAAGCCATTCCCCAAACCACCTGATAAAGCAGCTATTTTAGGTGCCACCACTGCAGCACAAGCCCTCACACTGACCCACACACACACTCAACCCCTTCCTCCTGAGGTACCCTCGTTTTGCATCAAGCAAACCCTTTCTCAGTTTTTTAGACTATCCGGAAGACTTCAGAGATGGTGACGTGCTTTGCACACAGCAACCCAGAGTGGTTCTGTTGAATGTTGTGCCACAGGAACCCTGCCCTTTGCTTTAACAGCCCAACAGCCAGGCATGTGTTCTCTTCCTGGGTGGGTTGTGCTTAATGCCCCATCAACTGTAGTCAGCTGGGCCAACAGCTGTGTGCAGGAAGGAGAACTACTGAAGAGGACGTGGCATTGAAAGAGAAAGACAAGAAAAAGTCATTTAAAAAAGCCAAAAAGCCGCTCTGTTGCACAACTGTCAGCTAAGCAGAAGCTGCTGGGGGGAAATGCCAAGGGCTCCTCCACAAGGGCTCATAAGGGACCCCATTTTGCATTACCCCGGGAATTTATGAAGGTACCTTGCAGCAACCAGCTGATTCCAGATTACACGATCATGTCCATTCTCAATCATTATGATCTTTTAGATATGTTCATTTTTGAACTTTAGTCACTGCCATGAGGTGGTTTCATGTTATGCAATGATGGGCCATCTGTCTGTTTGCAATAGCCAATAAAGGCACTTTAGTGATCCAAGATTCATTCTGACAACATGGAATACAGAAACAGAAAACTTTCCTTCTGTATAGACTGATTTTTCCCCCTTCACTTTCCTTATATTCACCTACACTTGTGGCCCTGAATCATGAGATTTCCCCCTCTCCCCGTCCTTTAAAGTTGCTTGATAAAATGAATGCACGTACAACCTTTTCTGACTTTTGCAAAGCTCTAATTAAATTATGCGCTTTCCCAAGAAGACATAACAGGAAAAATACTGAGGGGTGTTCATCTTGTTTAGATAAGACAACTCTGGAAACATATACCATCTACATAATATCTGTAGATAAAAGAATGCACACAGGGCATATTGGAAGAAAACAGAGATTTTCGCAGCAGATAGAAGTCCTAAATCACAGAAAAAATGTCCAACCTCCGACATGCCTTATTGTCCACTCGCTTTTAGTGCTTGGGTGCTTTCTCTCAAAATTCAAGCTGCAATGTCTGTCTCTAGACTATTTCAGTACCTTCACTTAGCCTGGAGGTGTATCACCTTCTGTTGGATCAATCGCTGGCCTCAGGAAATGTATTATGTATCTATCAGTCTTTTGGATCTGCCCAATGACAACATTCCTCTGGGTAGATGGCATAAAGCAATACAGCAGAGCCTCCATATCCACTGGTCCAGTGACTATGATCACATTTAACCGCAGTTGACCTCGGCCCAAAAGAGAAGTCATAAACACTTCTTAATGAAGTAAAAAATCTTAATTTAATAGGGAAAGGGAAAAAAACTATGCTGAGGTTGCTAGGATGTATAGTAAGAATGAATCTTTCTATCCCTGAAATTGTGAAAAAAGAAACGTAAATGTGTAGTATATAGTGCATACAATGTTTGCTATTAACTGTGGCTTCAGGCATCCACTGGAGGACTTGGGAACCTACAGCAGGGGTCCTGCTGTATTTAATACCACCTGAAGTTTATTTATTTATTTATTTTTCAATTTATATCCTCCCTTTTTCCTCAAAGGGATAAAGGCAGCTTACATCATTCTCCTCCTCCATCTTATCCCCACAACAACAACCCTGTGATGTAGGTTGGGCTGAGAGTCTGTGACTGGCCCAAAGTCACCCAGTTGGCTCCATGGCTGAGCAGGGACTTGAACCCAGATCGTCTGAGTCCCAGCCCCATGCTCTTAACCACTACGCCACACTGGCCCTCAAGTTCTCTTGGAGGTCTACAAAAGTCATATAAGGCAAAACTGAAGTCTTAACTGGCAATTCCTAAATCAACAACAGGTGATGCTGTTCATGCAAAAGAAAAAGTGTAAAGCAATAAAAGGTCTCAAGAGCGATAAGCTGGGGCAAACTGAAGGAAAATACCCTGTGTTTATTAGGCATAGGCTGTGAAACATTTCTTTGGCTTAAGGCCCTGCTCATTCATTCTCAGCTCCACAATAAGCAAAGTTCAACAAAAGAGAATTTCAGTCATGGGAATTATCATACAGAAGCAGGTGTTCTTTGAATGCAAGTTAAGCAGAAATATGGGCTAGACCAGTCTGATTCAACATACATTCCTTCTGGGCTGGAGAAGGGGGGAAAGCAAACACTAAAGCCTTCCAGAGAAGCCAAATATGGGTTTCTACCTGAGATGTTCTGACTCACAGACCAAACTCGAGTTTCTCAAGTGTACAAAGCATTTTATCACATCATAGTTAAAACAGTGACTCCTTGGAGAAAAAGTGAATTTCTTATCTACACAGGTCCAGAAACTCTTAGTTAAGAGCTACATCAGTGATACTTGAAGCTCATGTTTTTAAAGGTTTCTTGATTCTTGAACGGAAATGGACATGAACAAGGCAATCCTAGACATGTCTAGAATGGACCTTTAGTCTGATCCAGGAAAAGCTCCTTTTATGACCAAAGCTAAGCAAAAAGCGCTCTTATCTTTTTCTGTTAAAATATAAGAGGATGCCACTTATATTTTAAAGGAAACAAATACTCTCAATGGGGATCAATTTCAGGGCAGAATGAGGAAAGTATAAGCCTCCACACTGAAGTGCTGTTGTCCCAATCTGGATCGAGGCCAAATGTTTACATGAGAGTAAGGCAAGCCTCAGCTTCATGGGAGGATAAGGGCAATTAGCACAACCTGTGGTTTAACTTTCAGGACAGAAGCTACCCTTCTTTGGAGAGAAGTGTGGGCACCCAGAACTTGTTTCTCTCACCTTTTTGACTTTTATTACAGGGCAACATCCATGCCTTCCAGCTGCAAATGAGTCAGTGCTGCCTGGCTGTTGGACAGAAGTTGAGGGCGGGTGCCAGCAGCAAGCCAGGGACTGGCATGGCATGATTTTGCCAGGACACACTGGCGGTTCTGGCAGCAGCACAAGCAGCCGGGGGGTCTCTTCTAAATTCCCAGCAGGTGATTGTAGGAAGGAATTCCTGGGAGGAGAAACAAGATAAAGAGGAGGACAGGGAAGAGGAGGGAATCAAGTATGATTTATTTAATGCCTCAGCAAATACATATCTGTAGGATTTGAATAGGATTAAGTAGATGACAGATGGAAGAGAAAGGCCCTGAGTTAGGTAGAGTACATTAAAGTGAGTACAGGCAGCCTTCCCCAAAATGCTGCCCTCCAGATGTTCTGGACTACAACTTCAAGACCACTGGTCCTGCTGCCTGGGGAAGATGGGAGCTGGAATCCAAAACATTTGGCAAGCACCTGGTTGGGGAAAAGACCTATGGACACCTGTTGTGTTCCTCTGACTGCTTTAAGGTTCAGGGTCATGATGAAGGCTGCCAGCGGCCACTAGTCCTGGTGGCCACATCCACCTCCATGATCAGAGGCCACTGCATGGTGTGCCTGGCTAAATGTATCCTGCTCTGATCCAGCATGGGTCTTATGTTCTCCCACTGGATATTCCAGGAGGGCAGTCGTGCTTTGGGCATCATAAGAGGGCAACACTCCCTGGAGAAACCAATCATGCTTGGGGAAAACCCGAGGCAGGCGAAAAGGAAGGCCAGGTATGAGATGCAGCGACCCTGTAAGGGAAGTCGCGGCCCTGGGTCTGGAGAGAGGCGCAGAGCGTTTCGACGGGGCGGGGCGGTCAGGAACGACAGCAAATATTCCAGGAGTACCTGCCCGCCGGAAGGCTCAGGTGCCAGGGCTTCTCTCGCACAGGGGCTGCCCGACACTCACGCACGCAGCTCCGCCGGGACCCTCCCGCGGGCACGCGCTCCCCGGCTGGCCTGCGGGCCTCCCCGCCATCTCGCCGCGCTGGCCCCGGGGAGGGCGACGCGGCGCTGCCCAGCCGCCCGAGGCGTGGCGCCCTGCCGCCCGGGGCGGGGCTGGCGAGAGGTGAGGCGCCGCGAGCGCGCCCTGCCGTCGATCCCGGCGGGGAAGGCGTGGCCAGCCGCCAGGGGGCGGGGGCGAGCCGGCCGAGCCCGCCCAAGCTCCTCGGCAGGTCTCGGCGCCCAGCCCAGCCCAGCCCAGCGCAGCCCGCCGACAGCAGCGCTCTCGCCCGTGCCCGGGCCGCGGTCCCCTCTCCCTCCGGTGCCGCGGCGACCATGGCCCTTCCCGCCTTCTCCTCCGACGCCGGCTACATCCGCACGGTGCTGGGCTCGCCGGTGCTGGGCGAGTTGGACAGCTCCACCCTGGCGCTGCCTGCCAGGCTGTCGCACGGCCGAGCCGAGGCGCAGAAGTCTCTCCGCATCCAGCGACAGGTCGAGGAGACCCTGGCCAGGAAAAGCAAGGGCTCCTTGGTCAACGGTGAGTCCAGCGCCCCTTCGGGAGCCCCGTTCCGCCCCCCTCCAACTTGCGAGCCAACTTTGGCTTGGGAAGACCAGGAGAGCCGTCCCGTCGACGGAGTGCCTGCTTTGAGCCAGCGCAAAGATCTCCCCCGCGCCGCCCCGCAAGGAAGTGCAGCTTTTGGTGATCTTTGAATTGGGCTGATAGAGGCGTTCCGCCCTGAATTCTCGCAGCGCCTTTGTGTGCGAACGAGTGCGTTTCTTTTGGAAGTTTCTTTCCTCACCTGCTCAGAGAAATTAAGGAATGGGATCCCGCGCCCTCCGGCCCCTTTTTGTCAGTGGCCCCACCTGCAATTCAGGGAACTCTTAAGTTCCCTCCCGCCTCCCCCACTTCAGTGAGTAAAGGACATCAGCTGTCCGTATTGGAAAGCTCTGATGGTTAGCAGCGTAAGATGAATTTAGGGTGCAGTGCTTTGTATACCTAGAAAGAAGCCCTAGGACCACTGAGATGAAGGTGGGACTTACTTCTGTCTTCATGAGTATAGGGTTGCACCCTGAACTTTCTCTCCCAGTGAAATCTGCCAGTTTTAAAATACTTAATTCTTAACTGAGCTCTGCATTCATATTTAAAGTATGTAAATACACTTATAGTGTAATCATTGTGCATAATGGGGCTTACTCTCAAATGAGTGCAGCTTTACACGTATTTTCCAGCTAACTGGGTCCTTCACCTGCCTGCTTTTCCCCCCCTTCCTCTTTATCCATTCCTTCCACCGCTTCTCTGCTTAAAATGTTAATTGTTGTTATTTAACTCATATTCTGCATTATTAGTCCAAAGAACTCTTTAAGCAGACTACAGGAAAAAGAATGATAATCATCATGTACAACATTAACTGCTGTTGCGATGTGCTATCAACTCTTGCCCAACTTTTGGTGACCCTATGAATGAATGCATTTCAAACAGTCTTCACAACCCTGCTCAGTTCTGTGTCTCCTCTGTAGCTTCTCTACTGGTCTTTCCTCTTTCAATTTTCTGTGAACTTTGGACACATCCCTTATCAGAAACATTAAAGGGCTGCCTCTCTTAATTCTGTCTGCAGAAAACATCGGAGGACTTTTAGTGTTGGTTAGCAGGAGTCTTAGACCTGACAGGTACTTTTTCGAAATCAAAACATATGTAGGATTTTCTTTGCATGGCACTTGGTGATAATATCTCATCACATATGTAACTATCTGGCCCCAAGGCAAGGGATATTTTACAGTTTTCTCCTAACTTCCCATCTATTGTGACAAAGAATGAAAATCGGTTTACAAAGGCCACATTTGTGTGGTAATTTTTTGATTCAAGAAACACAAACTGAATACAAAAACACATTTACCCAAATTATACACAAAATATATATGAGAGAGCAAAGGTCAAGGAGGCTGAAGAGTAGAGTAGAACGTTTAATGAAAAATGCAAAACTGCAGTTTTAAAAAGGCATAGAAGGAAAAGGATGACAAGCAGGAAGAGCAGATATGTTAAAAATAATCTCTTGCTGCTTCAAGCACTAAATGATACAGTTACGTGAATAAACACCGCATGTTACAACAATTTTAATACTTGAGGTTTAGTGGTGTTGCATCTCTCTGTCAGTCCTATTGCTCATACTGCTATCTGCAACCATAGTAACTTTCTTCCAAAGCATAACAGCTGACATTTTTTTACGGAGGTAGTTGCACAAGGACATTTAACTATAGGTTATTTGATATCTTTTAAATAAATGCTACCTTTACAACAGCAAAATATCTAGTTCAGTGAATAGAGCAGAGCATGGTACAATCACAATACATAAAATCACAATGAAATATCATTTTAAATAAACCAACTACTACTCTAAGATAGCGTGACTGTGATTGCACATCCTTCTCCGGTAACATTGGAGCTGTTTTGTGGGAGGTTTTGTGAGAAAAAACAGCTTAGCTCACCCCCAGGGCAACATTGGTATGACAATTCACTTGCATCTTCTGTTTGTGTACATATAATTTTGTTTCTAACTTTACCAAAGTATCATTGTCAAGTAAGAATGGCAACTGTGCTCCCATAAGGTAAGGGTCAGCCCTGTGACCTGCTCCCAGTGTAGATACAACTTCTCTGTGGCAAATTTAAAACCACTTGGTATATAATTACCAGCATTTATTTAGAATTTATTCTCAAAAGCTGCTGCTTTTGTTCCTAACTTGTAAAGTATGTTTTAAAGCAAAATGATTTAAAGATTTTTCCACCCAGTGAAGTAAATGGGATCTGTATTCTTTCAATTTCCAGAAAAAGTTGGAAGCCAACTTCTTAAACCTCACCTATCATCACTCCCAGGCTATATGGAATGTGCATTCCTTCCAAGACACAACAGTGCTGTATAGTGTAAGATTCGGGCAGGCACACCCCTGCCCCAGGGCTGGTAACCTGTGGCTGAATCCTTTCTCCAGATAGCTATCTAAACGACCCGGCCCCATGCCTGACTCATCCAAAGATATTATCTTTGAGGCTTCTTCCCTAAATTGTTTTGCTTCCCTGCTTCCTGCTGCATATTTATGTTTCCTGGAGGTGCATTGCAGACATTCTTCTTTGGGGTAGGCAGCTTTCCAGGTGCTGTCGACTACAAGTCCCTTAAGAGTCAATCAATCCGACATGGCCAATTCCATTTTTAGAGACAATCACCCAGTCAGTGCATGTCTCAAATCGAATCTGTTGCTTACAGGGGTTATTTCTCTATGCCCAACAGGGCTTGCAGACCTCTGGGAGAACACAAAGATTGCTAGCAGTTGCTGCAGAACCTGGAAGCTAGGGCATGGAATGGACTTCCACAGGAGGTGGTTGAAGCCCCATCGGTGAGGGTGTTGAAGGATAGGAGGGACATGCACATAGAAGGCATGTCATGATTGGAGCTGGCTGGAGCCAGGGGTCAGACTAGATGGCCCAGGAAGCCCTTTCTGACTCACTCTGTTTCTATCAGATAAGTGCTAAAATGGGTCACTTAGTCAAAACCTCAAGACAACCTTTTACAACCCGGTGTCCTCCTGATCTTTTGAACCACAACTGCCCCAAACAATATGGATGATAGACTGGGTGATGGGTGTTGTAGTCCAAAAACATCTGGTGTACAATTGCTGGGATATGTTATTTAGGGTTGTGGGTGTGGAACCATGTGTGCGTTGCAAAATGCAAGGATAGGGTCCAGTGACTTGTGCTTGAGTTGTGCTTCCTGGAGCTTTGTACCTGAAGCTAGATTGTACCTCACTTGCTCGGGCTTTCTGTGCTGGATTGGTGAATGGTCAGAACAACAAGCCAAGAGGAAACAAATCTTGTTTTAAAAATCCTTGCCTCTATCCCGCCTCTGTTGATCTAGTCAGTTTCCCTACCGTAGCTGCAATAAACAGAGTCAGTGTGGTGCCGTGGCTGGAGAGTCAGACTGGGACTGAAGAAGATCCAGACTGAAATTCCATCTCAGCTGCAAAGGTCATGGGATAATCTCGTGCAAATCACTATCTCTCACCTTAACCTGCAGCTCAGGGCTATTTGGGAGGGTCAAATTGTGGGGGGTAGAGAAAACCATTTATGTCACTCTGAGTACTTCAGAGGAAAGGGAGAACATAAATAGCAATCAGCCAACATCACAGACTTGATCCACTTAATAACTGCCTCTAATATATATTTTAAGGTGTAAACCTATGCCTCTCTGGATGGGAAAAAAGTCCAGCAATTCTCAGTATGCATGGGATGGTGCCCTTAAGGAAGGATTCACTAGCAATTAGCTAACGTAGCCCTGGGAAAGGATTTCTTTGATGTGTGGCTTGGAACTCGTGAGCGCCAACATCAGAGAGTGAATGGATGATGTGCAGTGGGGAAATGGTTCTCCTTCATACCCGTCAGACATCTGGATTGTGTTCAGCTGACATGTGGGTCTGACCTCTCTCACTAGTCACACCTAGACGGCAGCATTCATCTGAGCAAGACCAGTTGCTCCCTCCCTGATGGCCACCTGCCAACTCACACAGGCGTCGTGGTTTCGGCGGTTTTGGCTTGTTCGACCGTTGATGTTTCAACCTCACCTGGCTTTTGAGTATTTAGCTGCAGTTTCCTGATGATTTTTTTTTTCAAAATGACTTTCTATCTTGTGATTTTTGCATTGTGCTTTTCTTTGTTATAAGCTGCCTTGAGTATTTATATGGGAAGGTGGGGCATTAAAAGTTTCCAGTAAAGAAGAATATATATTGGCTTATTTCACAATGGTTGCCATGAGGGAGGAGGCTATCAGTGGCAACTAGCCTTGCTGGCTGTGCACCACCTCTTTCACCAAAAGTGGCCTGCCTGCACACACCTGTTGCTGAGGAGCTTGGGCAGGAGGAGGTCTGGCACCTATCCTGCTCGAGGGATCCTGAGGGCAGCTGGTTTGCCACTGCGTGTATGGAGTGCTGGACTAGCTGAACCTCTGGTCTGGCTGTTCTTGTGTTAAGCATCTGGAGGTACTTGTGTGTTGGACAAGCACTGTGTCGCTCCTGGCAGCGGTATGCATTTCATGTTCCTTACCAAGATTTTCAGTGTATGTGGGGTTAGATCTATATCTGTCTTCCATGAGTTAAGAAAGGACTTCCCTCCAGAGGCAAGGCTCCCCTCTTAGAAGGTCCCTCCATTTAATTTTGGGAGGTTCACCCCTTCTTGCAACACACACACTGCAGCTCACCCTTCTGAACGGAGTCTTTGCACTTAAGGAGAAGACATTGTGGAACAATTTTCCTGCAGGGATTTTCATTATCATAATGGCTGCCATGTTGAATATTTAAGCCATAACTTGTCATTACGTGTGAACGCAGAAAAAGTGGGTGGTTAAGGTACTTGACAACCCACCCAGAACCCATGGACTGTTTTGGAGTTGCAGGTGCTTTATCAATAACTTATTCTTGCTAGGTTTGCAGGTAATGACAAGCTATGATGCACCACTACCACAGCTGAATATTCAAAATGGCAGCTGCCATTTATGGAAC